GGTCTCATTAACGTACACACAAAGGCAAGAACTCTAAAACAGTTCATCCAATTATTATCAATTTCAAACTTGACTGAGATCTCATCAATATATATACATGCATACTAAGTTTCATCAAGATCTGATAAAAACTGTAATCTCTTTTGTTCCTACAAGTCAAGGACAATAATTCTGAAATCATTCATTCAATTATTACCTTATTCGAAATTGACCAAGATACATGCATAGCAAGTTTAAGATCAGTTAAAAAATGTAGCTTGTATAGTGTCTACAAAAAATGTAGACAGAGAGATGGACTGACGAACATTTCCATGTGGGCGTATAATAAAATAATAATATAAAGACTGTTATGCACCCCTTTAAAAATACACACCCTACCCTTTATGAGGGTCAGCAAGTGATTTTGGTTCAAGATTTCTCAACAGGGGACTTCAAAGGGGTTTTATGGCCTATTTCATAACAATCAGGATATTACTGCTTCCACTCAGATTTTCTATTTGACACCAGAGACTCATATTATTCCAGAAGATCAGATTATGCCTTCTACAACAAAATATTTCAAGTCAATTGTGACAGTGATGTCACAGGATACTCAATACAAATAGAAAGAATAGGGTGCCCAATACACAATACACATTGAGGGTTAAAAACCCTTTTCAAATCCCTTAGATTCCACATCAAATCTAATACTAAGTTATAATACTGAGGATGATAAAATAAATACTTACTATTTGGTGAAACAGATGATAAGGTAGATGGAAGTGAATTATTAGATTCTATATAGTTTCCTGCTGGACTATTATCAATATCGTCATTATATTTATTACTTTCATTGTAGTCATGTGTCCATACCACTATAACACAGGAAATAAAACAATATTTAAACTGAAATCAACAAAATTGTTTTAAACTTATGAAATCAATATTCATGCTTATTCTTTATCTCTCAAAAACTATAGGAATATAAAATCAAGTCAAAATTTAAAATCTGCGCAAAGTTATACTGCCACTCGAACTAGAAAGCTTCTAATCTGAAAAATTGATTAAATGAGTCATTAGATTTAATAGTTTTACTTACCATGTGTTGTAGGTGAATTGCTATCTGTACTTGTAGCTTGTTGAGTTTCTATAACAGGTCTTTTGACCATTAACACATCATTACGTAGTTGACTATCTATAGATGGACGTCTGGTCACCACTTCTAATGGTTCCATAGTAGATACCTTTATTATCATACCTTCCCCAATGTCATTGTGTTTTACAATTGATTCACCCATTGTCAGGTGGCGTTCATAGTCTGACCTCTTTATGGTGTGAGGTTCACTTGAAAAAGTTCTATCACTTACATTAGCTTTATTGTGATTTTTTGCATGATGGTCTGTTGCATCAGAAAGTTTTCTATTCGGTAAAGATTTGTGTGCTATTTGACTATCAAGAGATTGTCTGTTGATGTAATGTCCATCTCCTCCGGCACTGTAAAGTTCTGCTCTTCTTAAAGCATCAGAAGATTGAGAATGAAGATCAGTTGTTGAACGCCTCCTATCAACCATTGGTTCTCCTATCAACTGTTCTGCAGCAGCCTGTGCAATAGCTTCTTTCCTTTGTGATCTTGGAGACCTCTGTCCTCCATTACCATTCTGACTATGAGACTGTCTGCCATCTTGTTTTTGAATTTTATTGGCTGGTGATTGCCTGTCTCTAACTTCCATTCTTTCATGATTCTCCATCCATACAACTGAAAATATAAATTTTACATGCTTTCGGAAAAGAAACCTATTAAGCCAGATAAAAAAAATTAGCATGGATGATGAAAGCTACTAAAAAAACGTCTACTTGGTCATACTTGCTGGTTGCTATAGCTGACATTCATTTATTTTTACTAGGTGCTCAGAAAAAACCCAAATTTCGAAAACTACTTTCAGCATTAATTTCCACCTGTGCTATAAAGATACCAAAACATCAAGTACCGGTAATTTCAAAGACATTTTCTTTTTATCATGGAGCAAGGAAAAAATGGGAATAAAGAATTACTTTCGATGATAATAATATGTTTTCTGGAATCGTAGTAGTAACAGTGGATCATCATTCTTAAATTCTACGAGTTCATAAAATTTTGTTCCATCACATGTAAATATCAAAACTTAAACGACTTTATCCAATTGGATTCTGGCTGTGTTGTCCTATGTAAGCTTACTTTACTATTAAGGCAGTAAGCTTATATAAAATATTACCAGCTTCTATACATAGATTATAAACATTATTGCCCATTATATAACTCATTAAAAAAGATTATAAAAGTAGGTTAAGACTGGGAAGCACTCTTATTTTTTCATCTATGGCAGACAAGACTAAGATTATGTTAGGCTAGATAAGTTATTCTCTATAATTTCTATTCAATATTCTACATAGTCTAACATTTCAATGAAAATAGAATAATTAATGGCTAGACATCCTACAATATAATATGGTCATCATGACACAATTGAGGTCAAATTGAAGAAACACCTCACCATTGACTTTGCTTGATGATAGTTAATCCTATAGGCCTAGGCCTAACATGAACGAACCCAATGGCTTACATTATATTTAAAGTCAATGCAAGAAAAGATGTAGGACACACTGACACACAAATTTGACACTTAGCTATTAATAACAAAATTTGTTTTCAAACTTAAAGACATTTAAAACCCATTTATCCAATGTAAACATTATCAAAAAGATCTGAATACTGGCTAGCAAATAAAAAATTTATCTCCTGATTCTTAGAATCTGATTATCTCATGATTACCAAATTTGACCCAGTTATGTACAGCTTGACCCCTATTCTGTAATTTTCAAGGAAACTGTCCCACAATCACCATCATTATATATTGTCCATTGTTCACAACGGTCAGAATAAATATGTAAAGTCATACCAAATTCATGTTTAAAACAAAATATCACAGTAGCAAAATTCTAGGGCAGATAGAGGGCAAAATATTCAGCATTAGCATTGAACGGAGGCGGTGACCTAATTCTAAAACAAAGCACATACCAAAACCTAGATAACAGCAAAAGGGTTATTTTTGCTGTAACATGCATTATAAACATACATAATCAATCTATGAATTAATAAGCGTTGCTACTGTAAATAATAAACCCCTTTAGCCCGGGGGAGAGGCAACTTACCACGTGGGACACTTTGACGGCTTTCACCCAGTGGTGACCGACTTTCCTCCATCTCTTACGTGTGACCTACTTTCTGACAGATATCCCACAATGCAAAATAGAAAATGTCAGCCTCCATGAAATAAAATACTCCTACCAAAAAAAGTATGATTTTTTAAGTATCATGGATCACCTGGAATGAAATAATTTAATTAACAAAGTTTGTCATCCAATTTGAATTAAATGGGGAGGTTAGATGAAGGTGTATGCTCATCAAATCATCTTTGAATAAGAATGTTCCAAAGAACTTTGTCGCTGTGACTGTGAGTGTAACTGTATAATCAGTTTCAAATCAAATGTCATTACAACAACAACTTATCTTCTTACTTTTAAAATTCATAATGTCTGTGCCTGTCTTTGTGCTCGTTAGACTATTATTGGTTCAATTACTTGACTTAAAATTGTTTTTGAATCCTATTATTTTTAAAGTGACTAATACACTTTCTTGTTATCATAAAAAAGCTGCTTTCTCTTATTGCACAATGCATGGCATAAGCCCATCCCTATTAGCAAAATCAGGTGCAGGAAAGTAAGATGGAAATCACCATTTCATTATAGATGGATTTCCATATTTTTATTCATTTATATATCCAAGTGTTACCAGTTTTGACGCTGCTTATCTACTTTTCACTGACAATTTATGAAAAAATTACATTAATCAAAAACCTACACCTTGTAAGAATATGAAATTTCATATTAAGTTTTAGTGGGGAAAATTTTTGTTCAAAACAGAACGTCGAATTTCACGCTTGTAAACTAGGTCACCTATAAAAATACCTTTAGTTTTTAGCAATAAAATTTATACACAGCTCTAAAAATTCAGTATTGTAACTGTTTTTAATAGAATATAGCGCGATTACATAATTTTAAAAAATTAGAACCGGCATGACTTTGACAGCCTTGAAATCTTAAATGAATATATACAACCATGTGATAGTTACATGATCTTTTGAAGCAGACGCGCATGTGACTTTCCACATATAACTTTCATAGATATCTTCATTTGATCATTTTTTATCACAAATTCAAAATCACGCTAAATTTGTAATAGTAATAAGAAGTCATTCTAAATCATTTTAGGCAGTTATACACCACAGTTTGATTTCATTTTGCTGAATTGAAAGTTGAGTGTTTATTTAATGTTTAAACAGAAACTGATGACACCAAGTAATATATAACCGCACAATCGCTACCAGATATTCATCTGTCAAAACAAGGATTGTCATGCTTTAGTATGGATTATTTGACAGCTAATGCTTATATCAATCAATAGTAGAGGTGTTCTAATAATTGGGAAAAATACGACTATGTTTCACAAGATTTTTGTGGACTGTCTTTTAGAGTGACTCTCTTACTCAATTTAAATTAAAGCAAATGTGATAAGGGCATCATAAAAGCATGGTGCATTGATTTTTAACATGAACCCCTTACCCCTGTTATTAAAACATTCTATTTATCACAAATTATTGAGCCATCATTTATGTGTACAGTCGATGCCATACTAGGTCACATTTTGAAAAAGAATTTGCAGTATTTGCAGTACTAAATATTCTTAATGTCAAGTTCTGAATTCATTACTATTTTGAACATAAAAAATCAACTGACAAGGATTTCTAAACACACAGACTAACAAAAAAGCCAATGAGATTTTTTTTGTTCAAATGGTTTCAAATATTCACTAAGGTTTAAATATATCTCATTGAAAAATTATTTTGTATTGTTTATTATCATGATAATTTATGCATCTATGGTTGGACTTCATTTCGATATTTTATTCCAGGTAAGAAGTAATGATGGAAACTGAATTTGTGTTCGAGTTTAAATGTAAAGGTTTAAAGTCTAAATTAACTGTACCTGTCAATATACCAGTGAAGGAACCAGTGGAGGAATTGGTAGGAAGACTTGTTAAAGCCAAAAACTTACCTGCTTATGTTGTTGAAGGTAGTTATATTGATTACGTACGGTAATAATTTAGTCTTTTTCTTTAAAGAATCACATGTTATGTGGATAAGATAGATTTATATCACAATATATCTTGTACTTTATTCCAATGCTATGCCAAGTTCAGAATGGGTATGTCACATAATCACTGAATTTTTTAAATCTTTTAATACATTTCATTTTGTTTCTAGATCTTCAGAAGGACCTTTGCAAGTTTGTAGAAGTTAAGACAGCTGAATGGAATGAAAAGAATGGTGAAGAGGCTATTAAAGCTGTTTTTGATAACAAGATAGATGAAAACATTTTAATTGATAAATGGAACAAAGCATTTACCCAGGTTATATTTCACCCTTAAATACTTAAACCCAAATCAGTTTCATTACTTGCCTTCATTATCTTTGTTTTTGATTTGCTTTATACATTTTATGCCTATTTGGAGACCCCAGCAATTCATTGTATTTTGCATTCAAGATTGATACAATTTATAGAGTAGTTTTGATTTATAAGGTTTAAAAGATTATCTTAGGGCCTGTTTATATGTAATGGGCCAGCCCGTTGAGCCTGGACTCGACTGCCTTCTATATAAATGCATTTGAGTAAATCTGCAGAGTGACGTCAGATCGAGTAACCTGGCAAACCTAGCCACCTCGGCTCACAGGGCTGGCCCACCACATGTAACCAGGACCTTAGATATTGGTTTTTTTTTTCGGTTTTACAGGAAGTTAAAACATATGCCAAGCCCGAAGAAGTAACGAATGAACAAATGTTTTCAGAAGTATATCATTCTTTAATTCATTCCCCTGCCTTAGAAACTGTGTTAAATTTAGAGCATACATATGCTTTATCTGTAGAAGACATTATAACCAATAGAGATGCTGATTTAAACCATCTAGATTCTAAGTAAGATATTTTTATTATATTCTTTTTTAAATTGCACCTTAAATCATTTTTATTTGGACCGGAAGCAATGATCAAGACAGTAATGGAACGGCTACTGAGTTGACTTTATTAATAACTCAGTAAGTAACTTTTGTCAACTGATTATTTCGGAGATGATAAAACACTAATTTTGACATTGTTGACAGACCTTCTGATATGAGTAATAGAGATTATCCTGTACCTGCCATGAAAATTTAATATTTGTTTTAGATGATTTTTTTTTGTTATGTACCATGTCTGTGGTGGATTCTAGATTAAAAAAACATTTTTTCACAAATGATATTCTTGTATCCCATGGAATAAATATGGTACTCATACGGAAGGTATTTGTTGGGCGCCGCCAAAAGTCAAAATTGTCTTCATGATCGTGTTTGTGAAGATTTGTTTGTAAAATGAAAATAAAATGAATGGAGTTTTTCTGCTAATACAAATGAAGACGGTATTTGTTTGTAGACAACAAGAAGAAATGGAAGAAGCGTTGAATAATGTTGGTATTAAATATAATGATGAAGATATAAATCAACTAGCTCAGAGACATTTTGATAATACACAGGTTTGTATTGATATTATCTCATATATTTTGATATTTTTTTTTTCCTCATCCACATCCCATAGCCAGAATTTATATTTTGATTAGAAGCTTTAGTTTATTTTATTGTGTATAGCTTGTATTGAACACTTATATGGAATTCAGTTTGACTTGAAAACACTGATGTATGTTTGAATCAGACAAGAAATTCATCAAAGAGTATAAGTGTGTTATGATGATATAATTATACTATTCAATGACAATTTTTTCAAGTCCATGGAAGGAAACTAGTTAAAGCAGACATTATTACCAACCTAAATAAATAAAAAAAAATTCTTGTTTTTAGTTAATTTCTAGTAAATGGGCAAGTGAATTAAGTAATCTTAAGGAAACCCAGAAAAGAGAATTTAAGGAATGGGTGATGAAAGTTCATGAAGATTCTCAGAATAATTCTATACCTCCAACATATTTGTAAGTCTTATACTTGACACATTTTAACAAAGGTGATGTCAGTCTGCTTCACTTTTAGCCTTAGTCTCTGAAATTATTGAAGTGTATTTTTGATTTATTTGATGAAATAAAATATAACTCAGATTTCCTCTATATTTTTAGCCAGTGGTATTTTTTTGTATTTTTGAATAAAACCACTAAAATTAAGTTTGAGGAATTAATTTTTCTGCTTAGGAAATGACTTCCAAAGCATCTTAAAATTGTAAAATCAAAGTATTATAACAATCATAATTGTACAGGCCACTGTGACATACTTAAAATCCAACAAAACAGTACATAATGTTAGAATACTAAACCTTGTATTTGTAGAAACAGATTACGTGCTATGTCGTCTGCTTTACCTGATGCAGAAGATGAAGAGAGACAGTCACAACCTACCAGATTAGAAGAAAGTTTTACAATTCACTTAGGTACATATTTACTCATCATCTGAATTTACTGAATACACTGAGGATGATCTCCTCACTTACAGGATTATTATTAGATATTATAGTGTTTTTATAACTTACCTTTTTATAGATTTCTAATTCTACATAGAATTTTTTTTTTAACATTTGAAACTATAAATTGGTAATTTCAAAGATATTCTATGTGTTTGTCCTTTATACATAAATGATATTTATTTTAATATAGGAGCCCAGATGAAGACAACTCATAATATAAGATTACTATGTACAGATGTTCTAGATTTATGTAGACATAAAACACACACTGTTGGGTAGGTTGTTTTTAAATTTCATCAAATGGTGACTTTCAACTTTTCAACAACACTTACTTTATGATAAGCATCTGAAAAAAGAGTGTTTTCATGAGGACATTTGACTCCTTTTAGAATCAAGCAACAAATTTGATGTTTGTTGAATGTACCAGATGTATAATGGTTAAACCACTAAATTTGTTGTCAAAAATAATTAAAAACGCTATTGCTTGTAGGAATTATAGTCATTCGGTGTTTGAACAGGTTTTTAAATATGGTTTAATGGTAAATCATTATCAGATGCATTATTCTAAGTAGTACTGAAGCTTGGAATGTGCTTAGCAAGTCAAAAATGGCAAGAAAAATAGTTCTGACCTTTTTAGATATAAATAATGTGTAATATGGATACAATTATTGTATGGGTGTGAATTTCCTCTATTGACAGAGTATTATTACACCTGTATAATAAAAATTGATACCTTATTGTAATTAACTTTTGTTGACTAAAATTTTATATAAATGTGTTCAGAGATGTCATCTATGTTTTCTCATACAAATTGATAAGATTATGACTCATGAATGTCATTGCTGAGAGATTGAGATTGTAACAAGTTGAGCTGTCTAAGAAGTCGATTCAATCTCTGGAACAATGAGATATTTTTACATGTGAATCAGTTCTACTTTTTCATGTAAAATTTTTATTTCAGTGGAATTGCAATACCTCAACCACAACGGTTACAAACAGCCATGTCATTATATTCTAATTCATTATGTGGTTTAGTTATATTAGTAGATAATAGAGTCAATAACTATACTGGCATGAAAAGAGGTAAGAACTTGATAATTTGGGACATTTTTCAGGTATTTTTTTTGCATATCTTGCAGGAACAACTGTTAAAGATCCTAAGCTTTCAATGAATTTTGATTTTAAGCTCAGTATTAGCTTTAAGCTTTTATTGAAATTGCTTCTCTTTAATATTTCTACCAATTTTTATTTTAATTTTTAAAATGATATTTTTTTTTTCAAAATTAGCTTTGAAATATTTTTTCAACTGATTTCCATGATTTTATCAATTACTTTCTGATGATAAAACCTATTAAAGATAGTTAAATGATCCATTTCATATCTTCCAGCTTTTTCTAAAGTATGTGAACAGTCAACAGATTTCCATTTTCCTGATTTAGACCATCGTTATTCAATGTTAGAACAAGAAGTTATAAAAATGAATGAATTAAGAAGAAAAAAGAAAGAAGAAGATGATATGAGTATTAAAAGTAATGGAAGTAATATTAGTGGTAATAGTAATTCTAGTACAGAAACACAGGTAATACTCTTTAAAGTAATATCATTACAGAAGTTGTAGTTTGGATCTCTGGATCAGTCCAAAAAATTCTCATTTGTAACAAGCACTGTGGTTGTTGTTGCACTCATTGCAGGGCAAAATCATTCTCAGGTAGAACTGATACCACTCTGCAACTGTTTTTGTCAACGTAGTATTCCTTTCAGAGAGTCCAAAAAAGTTACTAGTAATACAGGGCTTGTTCACTCTTCCAGAACATCTTATGTTAGTGTGAATAGGTTTTAGAGAGCCTTACTTATTTATTGGTACATTTATAATCAAGCTATTTCTTCTCTTCATTATTATTTGAAATTTTTGTTGTTTGTTTTTAGAATAAAACAGTAAATAATAAGTTAGATACTGGTGATTTTTATATAACAGAACATTCTAATTTATCTGAAATACATGTGGTGTTTCATCTTGTATGTGATGACAGTGTTCGTGCTAGTGATATATCATCCAGACATCCTGCTATATTAAGTTTAAGAAATATCATCAAGTTATGTTTTCGTTATGATATTCATACTATAACCATTCCATTATTACTTACTCATGAAATGACAGAGGTAGGTACTACTCATACATTTATTAAGCTCTATATTCCCAGTTGAATGACTAAGGGTCATGTGACAGTGAGTACTTTGATTACTGTGACAGGTGTCGTGAGTAAGACCAGGCATGTCAGGTTTCAACAACCTGACAGGACTGGGCATCCCAAATCATATCATTCATACCCTGTTCTTACACTAACCTGTTCTTGCTTAAATGTTTAAATTCTGTTATGATTCCCCCTACTCTTTACCCTTTAAGTTGGTGTATCTCTGTAAACAGAAGGGAATGGAGTGATTGTCTGTGAGGATTTTTTTTACTAGCCGATCTATATACCTTTTGATAGCAAAGATCTATCCTGAATTATTTTCTAGGTTGACTTGAATGGTAATGCAAGGGTCGCCAGACTTTTAGAATAGATAAATTTACCAATGCAATACCTGGCAGTACCATGCGCTTTAACCTGTAGGAGCAGTTTTTAAACTTCAAGAATGGTGTCATTTTGATTTGATTTTATAACAAATTATTACCTGACATTCTATAAACATTCTGATCATTTTTATACGCTCACATGAAATGGGGGGCGTATATTGTCGTCACCTATGTCCGTCGGTCCGTCCCTCCGTCCGTCCACAATTGCTCGTAAACACTCTACAGGGCACAATTCTTGACGGATTTTAACGAAACTTAGTATGTGTGTTCGCAATCACCCAAGGATAAACCCTATTGAAAATCAGCGAAATCGAAAAATATTTAGTATGAATTATTGCCCTTGATCTTGCAAACGCGTTCAATTTTTAGCTCATAAACACTCTAGAAGGCACAATTCTTGAAGGATTTTAACGAAACTTGGTATGAGTGTTCGTAATCACCCAAGGATAAACCCTATTGAAAATCAGCGAAATCGAAAAATATTTAGTATGAATTATTGACCTTGTCATTGAAAACGTGTTCAATTTTTAGCTCGTAAACACTCTAGAAGGCACAATTCTTGAAGGATTTTAACGGAACTTGTTATGAGTGTTCGTAATCACCCAAGGATAAACCCTATTGAAAATCAGCGAAATCAAAAAATATTTAGTATGAATTATTGCCCTTGTTCTTGAAAACACGTTCAATTTTTAGCTCGTAATCACTCTACAGGGCACAATTCTTGAAGGATTTTAACGAAACTTCGTATGAGTGTTTGTAATCACCCAAGGATAAACCCTATTGAAAATCAGCGAAATCGAAAAATATTTAGTATGAATTATTGCCCTTGTTCATGCAAACCGTTCAATTTTTAGCTCGTAAACACTCTAGAAGGCACAATTCTTGACAGATTTTGACGAAACTTCGTATGAGTGTTCGTATTCACCCAAGGATAAACCCTATTGGGAAATCGAAAAATATGTAGTATGAATTATTGCCCTTGTTCTTGAAAACGCGTTCAATTTTTAGCTCGTAAACACTCTAGGAGGCACAATTCTTGACAGACTCTACAAGTCACAATTTTTTTGTTCATAATCACAATTTACAATAGATGTCATTATTTTCCTGAGAAACTATTTTGGTTAACAAATAAGAAAATTTAATTTAATCTTTAACATGTCCCTAACCAGCCACCATACATGTACAGCATCATAAGATACTATAAATAGACCAAGTGGAAAATCCAAGACAGATATCCAATCATAGCTTAGTCATGTGACATCCCAAGATGCAGCAGTTTATCTGATTTCATTTTATAAATGTCATTCAAGAGAAAAGGTTTGCTTAATCATTTCATTTTCACCAATTGTGCTGAAACAAAAATGAAATTAAACATGGGTCATAGGGGAAATACGGAGCCCCTAAGGCGCAATTGTAAACATATTTATTTATTATTTCATTTAAACGATAAATAATTATTTTGTTTTAACGAAATACCCTATGTTTATTTCGTTTTAACGAATTAATTTTTTCGTCTATTTCGTTTAAACGAAATAATTAATCCATCTTTTTCAAACAAAGCTATCAGTGGGCGTATATTATCTTGCCTGGCAAGCTATCTTAATAATTTATATAACAGGAAATGACTATACCATGGTGTATGAAAAGAGCAGAATTAATATATAAATGTGTGAAAGGTTTTATGATAGAAATGGCAACATATGGAGCACAAGAATCAAGAACAATACAATTTCTAGTACCAAGAGTAAGTTTTGATCTTTCATAATTATTAGAGTAAACATTCAAATAGACTTCATCTGATAGTTGTAGTTGTTTGGATACACAATCCTCATGGTAACATTTATTGAAAAATGGGGGTAAACTTTAGAAAATCATACCCAACTATTTAGTTTAGACCTCTGCCTTATTCATCATGGCATCCCATTAAATTACAAGAAGCAATTTTTAAATTGGCATAAGAACATTAGAAGGTTATTCAATTCACGCCAAAAGCAATCAATAATTTTATGCTTTAGTTACTCCCCTTTGTCCACAAACCATTTTTATGTTTGACTTATTATTTAATATTATTGATTATATATCAATCAGTGATTATTAGTGAGTGTCAAGTCTGCAGTAAGTTCTCTTCATGAGTTGCTTCCCTTTGACCACAAGTGACACTAAGCCCTTTTTCATGTTATTTGGTTGTAATGTTGTATGATAATTGGTCTTTAGTAGTAATAATAGGTGTAGCTTATTTAATTTTTTCAGGGACTATCAGAAGATATGTTTAATAATATTAGTAACATGTTACCAACCATATTCAGACTATCAAATCCAGTGATACACAGAACAGGTCCTTAGCATTGTTTGGTAACTTGATTCAAACAGTGTCTCAAAATATATTAGTCTAAATCTTAACAGAAACTGAGTACTAATTATTTGTTATATTATGAATTATGAACTCTAGTACAATATATTTTCATTTGAAATTTAGGCTCTTGTGAAATTCTTCTGCTCATTTAAGTAGAAAATATTTTGTAAATAAAGAGCCTTAATCCTGCACTTTATACAAGTTGAAAGAGTATTCTTTCAATTTTATTATATTTTTTTATAATGAAAATATGCAAAAAATGTGTGATTTTTGTTGTTGAGGGGAAGGGGGTCTTGTTGTTGGGCCATGGATCTGCCACTGGTTTCTTACCTAAAAGTAAAGTGGAATGCTTGTGTTCATGTTTTGAATCAGACTTAAATGTGCACAAATATCTCTACTTGACTGGAGATATCCTTTCACTCTATACATGTTGCTAGATAAACGTATTTTTTTTTTCCAATTTGAAGTCATGTAAGCCTATTTTATTCCGTACAATTGACACAATAAAACATCTTTATGCAGCTTGCGCAGTGGACTGTTTGACACAATAGGTGGAATACTGAACCATGTGTCTTATTGTATATTGATGTGACATATTGAACAATATTCATTTGTGCTAGTAGTAGTCACATAGTGTGTAGAATATATATCAGAAGCTCAAACCATTCAAGTGAAGTGATATGTAGTACTGTATGTTAAAGGGATAGGTTCACCATTTTTGGTTTTGAATATACATGTATGTCATTAGTCTTCAGAAATACTAGAAATGTACAAAATTCGCATAAATCCTGTAAAACTACCTCAAACTAGGAATTTCACTTTCTATTTCTATATATGTCAGTCTCAAGATAAGACACAGAAAATTCTCGACACACAGATTTGAAGGCTAAAATTTTGACTAAAATTAATTATTAGCTTAGCTAAAAAAAATCCTATTTCTGAGACTAAGGTATAATTGACCGAATCTGTCCCTTTAAATGACTTCATGCATTATTGTCAAATTTAAAACAGAATTAATGTTTTTTATTGCTATTAAAATCATTAACATATGTTAGCTCTATCTCTAGTCAGATGGGTGATGTGCTATATTGTGATATTGTAATATATTTATAGCTAATTTATCAAATAATTTAAAATTTCATTTTAATGTAGCATAAATTGTTTGTAAATGATATTATAATTTTACATGAATATAAATTTTGAACATAAATATTATCATTCTACAATTGATGTATTAAACACTATTTTTGCATTCAAAATAATATTTTGTTAATGTAAATATTAACTTGTACATGTCTGTAGGATATATATTAAACTTATATTTAATCCAGGTCAGATATGACTTCAGGCTTGTTTTTCTTTACTCTAGCTATCTTTCTTCTTTACACGTATACAATACAATTTTATTAGTAGACTATTATATCCTGTTTGTTTTCTTTCGATTTCAATGTAACAAAATTTTAAGTTGTATACAATGATTGACTGAACATTTTGACCACATCATTAATCTAGAAGTTGGACATGTCCCTTTGAAGTGCATATCAAGGTTAAAGGAGTTCTTCTTCAAAAACTGATACATTAATTTGAGTAGCTAGACTTACTGAAGCATGAAGTGTATTCTTATCATTTATTTAGGTCAAAATTGTTCACAGTACAAGTTTAAATAGCTATCAGAATATGACATACACGGAAATTATTTATTTATTGTCAATTACAATTGAATCCAAACTATGCTGATAACCTTATTTAATGACTATGATATTGTTATAATATTGATTGTCAATTTTATGGATGAATAGAAACATGTGTTTAATAGGTATTGAAATCAGATATTTAGTCTACTTGATTCAATACTGAGCAGGTGGTCAAATACATTTAATAGTTTCTAACGTATGAAATTGTGCTTGTATCTAAAAGTTCAAAATAACTTTTCTTGAATTGGCATTGATTCTGACAGTACCTCAGTATCCTCTATTTACATATGCTTGAAATTAGATGTATGTACTTTCTGACAATAGAAATATACTATTACTGTACGTTTCCATGTGTAATGCAGTTTTTTTTTTTACCCCAAAATGGGCCCCTTACCTAATATGGTCTAAATAAATTTATGGATACTTCTAGAATATTTACTACTTCAATGTTTCAATGTGGTTCTAACACCGTCATCAGGAATATAATAATGGGTACAAACAATAAGTAACAAGTATATATGTAGGTAAAAATAACAATAGAAACAACAACAAAGGCAAGAGACGCTACCAGTAAATACCATGAAAGCATCATGATTAAGAAACTACAACCTGAACTGAATAGAGACCAAGGATACCAACTACCAAGAATTTGGGATACCCTGTTGTTGTAATTAACCCTTTGAACTCTCCTAATGTTACTTTCATCTTCTACCCTGTAGTGGCTTCTAAATCTTACTTATCTTAATCTGTATAATTACCTTTGATCATCCCTTATTAACGGCTCACTTACATGTCTTCTCTTTTGCCTTTGTTGTTGTTTCTATTGTTATTGTTACCTACATATATACCTGTTACTTATTGTTTGTACCCATTTAGTTTGCGATATCAGCATCCGCTGGAAGCGAACGTTAACTTGTCATCTACCTACCTACCTACTTTTGTACCCATTATTATATTCCTGATGACTGTGAGAACCACATTGAAACGTTGAAGTAATAAATATTCTAGAAGTATCTATCCATAAATTGTCTTATTTATATATAACCTGTGCTTCTAATATGCCTTTGAAAGATTAGATAATTTATGGATAGATACTTCTAGAATATTTATTACTTCCAACGTTTCAATGTGGTTCTAAATTATCTTCAATGACAATAACTGTCTGCATTGTGCAGAGTTTGGCATAAATAAATGCTAATTCATTTTGTGACAAGCTGTACCATTGATACTTTTTATATTGATTAGTCCCTGGGATTGCAAACGGGGAGACTTGAAAATTAGGCAAAAAATGATCTCGAGATAAACAAAATATTATTCTGGCTCAGCTCAATACATATGCAGAAATTTTTATCTTAATCCACCAATGGCACAGAATAAATGAACAAGAGCTCAGTTTACAAGTACAACTGGCTAACTAAGCATGAAGAGAATAAACTCAATTCATAAACTAGTAGTAAGTTTTAAATATTTCAAAAATAATTGATAATTTTGTAATTTTTTTATTTTCCTGATTTAATACAAAATGAGCATGTGATGATTTTAATACACATTTTGATATTTCACATTAATTTTTTATTTAAAGGTATGACAACCAAAGTAAAGTTTTGGTTTCAAAATAAACTCACATCATACACAATTCACATGGAATAATATATTCCAAACAATTAGCCAACAGTATTATGACATTTTGGTCAATTCATCTACGTTTCTTTAATGCACACCAATCAAATTATCCTGTACATTGACCACTCTCTTTGAAAGATAAATAACTTAAAAGCAGGAGAAAAGTCAGACTTCCACCACTGGAATGATTGGCTAAGACAAGCTAACACATGAAGGGAATCCAGGCCAAATTGATTAAAGAACTAATATAAGATTGATTTAAAAAAAAAACTTAACAAAGAAGGAAGGACATTTAGATGTTTTCCTGAATACCTCTGTGTAACAGGTAAGTAATTCAGTTGTGATGAATGTCAGATAAAGTAGCATCAAAGTATGAAAGATCTTATTATCCAATTTAAAAAAATCTTAACAGAGCATTAAATAAAATAAACACCTAACTATATACATATCTTAAGATATAGATTATTCTAGACCTGGTATTCCCTCCATGAAATACTCCAACTTCTTGATGCTACTTCATCCGATTGAATGAGATTATATTTATATGATTACAGACTAGATGATGTATGACTTAAAGTTCATCACGTGGTACTTCTTCACCATCATCTTCACCTTCCTCTTCTTCACCTTCCTCTTCACCTTCATCTTCTTCCTCCTGTAACAAAAAACCATGGTTATAAATACTCACATACTTCCGACTGCCTGGTTCTATAGCAACATAAGTTTTATCAGAATAACAAGACTAAAGATATCTAATTCTACATGATGCTAATTAAAGAGGTGACAAACATGCACATCAGGAAATCAAAATGTAAATTGAAGTTAAAATACACAAATAGTTCAATTCAAACCTCTGAAATATAAAGATAACGTACCTCTTCAGCAGCTCCTGCACCTTCTTTACCTCCACTTTCTAAAAATTTACTAAATCCTTCTACAGTTCTGGCACCATTATAATCTATAACATCATCACTTCCAGCAGGGAAATATTTAATAGTTGGGAAGCTCTGAACTTTTACATCGGCTAACTCATTAGCTGTAGCGTCCATCTTAGCAATAACAATGTCTTTATTGCCTTTGAATTTCTCACCAAGTTCATCCCAAATTGGGACTAATTGTTTACAATGACCACACCATGGGGCATCTAAAAAAAAAAGGAAAAAGAAGTCATAACATACTGCTAGACAACAAATCTTGCACCACACATGTGACAATCTTTGGTAATTAATTGCAAATGTATATCAAATGACTTTATAGAAACCAGTGATAATACTTACAAAATTCAATTAAGACTGCTTTTGATTTATCTTTGGCTACTTCATGGAAGTTTTTACCAACTAAAACTTTAACTGGGTTTTTATCCCAATCTTCTGGGACATCTTCAGATAACAAATGAGGCTGAATAAAAGATCACAATTAGTTATACAAAATAAAGAATATTCATTTTTAGAAAGAAATAATGCCTTTGGGGCATTTTGGGGACGTATTTTTTTTAGGAAGAAAGGATATACACAATATGGTATATAATGTCTCAAATAGAGCCGTTTCACTTGAGGATTGGCAAAAGACTGTTAACATCTTTGATGCACTGATGATTTCATTTTATTTCAATGCATTATGTATACACTAACCTTCAGACTGCCATCTAAAAATAATTGAACAAATGTTTTGACATTCTCTGTAGTAATAGATTTATCTTCTGGTACGTATTTAGTCATATCTTCTGTTAATGTAATCAAACGTAAAGCAGGTACATCTTCACTCTTCAAACCGAAGAATTCCAAAATTCTGGCATTGTCTTCATCTTTAGTATTGATGTAAATAAACAGAACCTATAATATAAATCATTCACTATACATGTATAAAGAACATAATAGAAAAGTGGCTCTGTATAATATACTTATAGTTCAACATGTTTACATCAGCATATAAGAAGAAAACACAATTCACAAAATTGTGACCCAAGTAAATTAAGAGATTCTATTCTTACCTTTCCTTTAAAGTCTTTGGCTGGGGCCTTGAATTGTTCCAAATGTTTGTCAAAATCATCATCTTTGTTTACAAATAAAAGAATATGGTTCTTTACTTTACCTCCGAAGATTTTCTGTGCAGACTGCAATAGAAACATTGACATTAGCAGAAGAACATACAGTAATTCATCCATTTGATTGATTTTTCCTTCAGATGAAAATCATTTTATATTTACTAACATAACATATGAAGAATAGCTTTATATGGTTACATTTTAGTAATGCTAATTATAGGTAATAAGAAAGTCAAAAATAAATAATATACACACCTCTTGAGTAAATTCAACAACAAGTGGTAACTGATTTTCACCAACAAATGCTTCAATCTTTTCAACAGTAAAGTCACCATCAAAAGTATTTTTACCTTCATCAAACTGTAAGAGAAAGTATATTTTGAAATTCATTAATCAACTATTTTATTTAAAGTAAACGATATCGTATGATAAAGAGCTCACAAAATTTCCAACAAATAGCATTCATCTCCAGTAATACAAGAGAATGTGACAGTATCACCATACTGTAAGCCATAGAAAAACTTTTAGTCAGCAGAAAAAACACAGACAGAAACATATGCTAACTGACATTAACAGGTTACACCACACATTTAACAAATGAAAAATAATTATATTCAAACCAGAATAAATTATTGTACTGACCTTTTTAAATAAGATAATAGAATCTCTATCTACACTGTGCTCTTTAAATACACTGTCGTCAGATGTGATACCAAATGGTACATCGTCATTACCAGAGGCTACATTTTTAAATGCTTTAGCTGCTGTGGAATCTTCATCCTTCAGAAGAAAAAATAAAAATTTACTTAAACTAATGAAATAATGAAACTGTTGGTTTGCAAACAAAATAAAACAAATAATTACAGATGCAAGCTTACTTTTATATTATTTCCACTTGGGACCTTGATGCAGACAAGAAACAAATGAAATATTCGTACCTTGAAGAATCCGATGACAACAACGTCATTACCATCAATAAATTTGGTACCCTCAGCAACAGATTTGATAGCAGCTGCAGGTGGACCAGTCTTTTTCTTCAGCCAATTAACAATATCAGCTGCTTGTCTACCAGCTGAAAATAAACCAAAAAAATGAAATGAATGACCCTGACAAGATACTGAAAGATGTTAATAATGCAGAAAGTCATACATTTTACTTTTCTAATATTTTTATATCTGTTGTGAAAGACATTTAATAACTTACCACTATAATCTGAGGGCTTTCCACCTCGGAAAAACTTAATTGTTGGGTAGCCTCTAACTTCAAACTTTTCAGCCAATTCAGATTCCTGAGTGGCATCTACTTTACCCAATACAACATCAGAACCGTCTTTAGCTAACTGAATAGAAGCTTTCTTGTATTCTGGTTCTAACTGTTTACAATGTCCACACCATGGTGCATCTGGAAAATAACAAATTTGTATAAACAATTCCACTAGAAACAGTGGTAACACGTAACTTCATAACCAGATTTTTTGTGGCAAATTGGTTGAGTTTAACTGCTAAGCCTCATTTGAACTTTTGTTGGTTATTAAGCCAATCCACAGGTTCAAATATCTACTGATGAGTCTATAATCAATCTACAGCTACATACATCAAGTATAGTAACACAAATACAATGATTTAGCCTTATGCTGTAAATGTCAGCACAGACCTATAGGCCTAGTATGTACCTACAATATTTGCAATAGTATATTTAACAAAAGCGCGTAAGTAAATTGATGTCATACCATAGTCCGATAATGACCGGCGAGAAATAAATGTCTAAATGACATTATTAATATTAGGCTATTACTTACAAAATTCTACAAGAACAAACTGGTTTTCTTCAATGGTTTTGTCAAAATTATCTTTAGTTAAAACGACGACTTTGTCTTCTTCATCTGCACCAAACACAGATAGGGCTAAAAACCCTAAAATAAGTAAAACACACTTCATGACGGTTTCCTTGATGAAAGAGATCTGTTCGGAATAAATTTGCTCTTCCCTTACTTATCTCAAACGTGGCAAAAGGACAAGTTCCGGTATGCGCAGTCTAAATTCTCGTGTTGTTATCTGATTGGTTGAAATCTTGATCACGTGTGGTAAATAAAAGGAATTAACCACGTGTTAAAAAATCCTCAATGTGTCCGCTATGTTGTAAATCATTTAAACCTCAATTGTCAATTATAAATAATGTGTCATATGTGTTTTCCACTCTAATAGCTAAATATGCCCAGGAGTCAGATTAATGTGGCATTTATTAAACGTTAATTAAATCTAATTGAGATTAAAATAATGCCCACTTGTATTGAAAATCATGGAGTTGGGGTATCTATGACTATAGATTAAGTCAAAAAAGGCCTTACAGCCAGCAGGGTTAAAAGAAAAATGAAATAATAAACCATGATATTATATAATCCTTGTAAGACATTTAGAAGTATCACAGCACATTAAGAAACAACAGTTTTTATGGATATAGACTTCTATTTATATATATATAAAAACTGTTGTTTCTTAACATGATATTGTAGTTTTAAAAATGTTTATTAATCATTCATACGAGATTTAATAATAGGTCAACTCGATTCTTATTGGAATTGTAGCAGAACTATACTTTACATACATACATACATACAAAATATAAAAAAAATAATAATGATAAGGGCAACATGAAGGATTTACAATGTTCTGGGTCTGATATATAAGAGAATCTTGCCACTGTCCCAAGCCAGATTATTGTAGTATGATATTAAGTATGGGCTTGTCTTAAGGAAATGCATATAGCCTGTATATGCCTATTAGCTTTGTAGTTCAACGAACAGAATCAGCTCACGCCTAGCTATTTCAGCTATCTGCATCACTTTTCAAGATGAGCATCTGGTGGAAGTTTACTGATTACCACTGTAACATCTGTTTGGGAGAATCTATATATATGTGTGTCAAGAATAATTATTATTCGCGTTTGAAAGTTAAAAAGACGACTCGTATATTTAACTTTCTCCATCATATAATATAGCAAAAAAAAAAGTGAAACTCATGATATTTTTGAAGACTATTTACATATACCGGGTATTCAAGACCCAAATCAACCTTGGAAAAGGTTTAAGATCCCTTTAAGATTATAGATTCAAACTCGTTAATAGCTACAGGGGCAAAGGAGGGGGTTGGGAATCGTGTCATTGAAAACTAAACCCCACACTCTATTGCCACTCAGGATATATATTACTTGCCCCTTCCAACAATCTTAAAAATCTGGCTATGGGCCTGGATTCTAGCTGATGACATTCATAAAGCTGCTTATATCTCATTAATTCAAGTTGTGAACCCGGTCATATTAGATATACACTGAAGAGATATGTGAAAGATATTTTTAATAATTTGACAACACGTGTGTACAAGATCAATAATACCAAGAATACAAAGAACTGTAATAAGTTGACTGAATAGATAACAGCTGGTGAGAGTTGTGTCACATTTTAGATTTGTTGTCACATTGGTTTTGATTACTAGATTTCATTCATGAAGATAAGTTTAACACAATTACAACCAACTTTGATGGCATAAATTGTATTATATCCATCTTTATATCGTATTATTGACCATCATCCCCGAGATTACCAGAAGTGTCGCTGTTATCTATCCATCCATATACCCTCCTCCCTACCCTACATGTCATTGATAAGGAAGTAAAGGGTGGTCAAGTTTAATATTTAAAAATCTATATCTATAGTCTGCAGTATCAATTAGATGAATCTCCTAAGTCAAATACAATATAGGTCTTCGCTTTTTAATTTTCAATCGGAATTTTGACACTTGAATTATTTGTCATTTCTTCGGTGAGATTGTCCGGTCAGCTTCTGTTGGGTCAGCAACTATCTCTGAAACTGATGATCATCCGTGATCAAAGATATTTGAAAACATATGTTAACCCAATAGATGTTGCAAATGTTGAATGGTTCTATCTATCATGTTCAATATTCAAATGTTTCCACCAAAGTTTAGAAATGTTAATTTTAATGAAAGTGTCTATCCAATGTGGTAGTGGCATGTATATAAGTTGGTAGGGCATATTTCGAGGAAGAAATCAAACTACACTGACAATTATCTCTAATATTCTGTTCTTTGTATTATCTATAGAGATTGTTAAGAGATTTTTGAAATTTTGTATGTGTATCGGGGGCAGTGATAGCATCAATTTGTGCCATTCCAATTTTCAAACAGACGTCTGTGGCTTATGAAATTCCACTGATACTGAGCGTTTTAGGTATACCGGTATTCATGAATCCATAATCACATCATAAGACTCCACGTTATCATGTTGTTGTCTATCGAGCAGGGGAAGATACCAGGTCATATAAAACTCTATTAAAAAGGGACTCTCAATCAAGTTCAAGGGAGGTAAGTTATACTATTTTGCAAAATGAGATGCATTTGATTGTTTTTTTGGAATATTAAAACATGTCAAATCTATGGATCATTGATCCGAAGAACAACCAGTTTTGAGTTTATAAATTTAATTTATTACAACTAGAATTTTAACATATTGATATAGCACTATTCCAGGATTAATGTTAACTGTAGCTACTTTCAGGTCGTAAGCACATTGTAACAAATTGCACAATGGGCAGTAGCCTGTTCTAAATTTATTAAATCTCTAAATTTATATTACGCTGATTACAAAAAAATGTCTCTATTCATTATTATTTAACCTAATTTTGCATGATTGTAGAGATGGTGACTACGTTTTCTACTGTAAAGATACTAAAATGAACTTTATTAATAGATGAAATGTAGGCTATGCTTTTATATAAATAAATAAAACTTCATTAGTAAAAAATATTGAATTGCAAAAAAAGAAAAGTTTAAAAGGAATAAATTTACAAGACAATAAGAGTAATATGATAAAAATATCACAAAAAGAGTATATAAGGCATTAAACAGCAAAGACATTAATTTAATTGGAAAATATAAACACTGCTGCCTGAATTAGTACATGTATTATGTAATGTCTGTTCAAATTGTATTCCTGAAGTTTAAGATAAAATTATCTTATACCTAGAATTAAAAACAGTTTAATGAGGATTCATGACAGTTCCCAATGTGGAGCAGTCAAGCTCCATGCTTATGATGTAAGACTTGTTGAACATTGATTAGAGATTCAGTCATTTGGACAGAGTTTATTCTGAGTGTATAGTTTGTTATTCAACATAACATTATCTTATACTTGAATGAGCTTGTTGTAGTTGTAAATGAAAAACACTGAAAGGTCATAAGAATAACCAGTTTGAGCCATGCACACAAATGGTAAATGTGAAACTCATAATAATTTACACATTCGCTTTAAATTTTCACATCGATAACTTTTTGAGCTTGCAAAGCTGAAATAACAACATATAAAACCCACAGTAGTACAAAAATAATTGCGCAAGCAATTTTGCCAGGGACTGGTCCACCCAATTCTCCTTTACCAAACACACCAACATTTCTCCTTATTATAAGTATCGTAAGTGCAGTGACAGCAGCAACAGTATATAAAACAACACTTAATCCAAGCGACCCTACTGGTACCTCGAATTGCTCGCCCTGTAATACAACAAAAATAAATTTAACTACAAGGGAAATAACCACAGATGGTAACACTCCTCACTATGGCTAATGTAACTAACTTTTATCTTTAAAAAAATGGTATGATGGAAGAAGACAAATCCAATATTAAGCGTTTTTAACACTTCTTTGGCACTCATGAAACCTGATGAGTTTTTATTTTTCACTGAACCGGAGTAAATAAAAAGGCTACTTTCTGCTGGCTGATGAAACGAGTTTTTTTTTTTGAAGAGCTATAGATTATTAGTTTGAATGTAAATTTACCTTAACATTCCAATAGATACTCGCAATTACCCAGGGAAGACCTAAACCCAGAAACACATTTACTGAATTACTACCAGTAACATTTCCAATAGAACTATCAGCATATCTCTCCATTATAGCAGCTGTTTTACTAGCAAAAGTATCCGGCATACTTGTTCCCAGAGCAACTAAGGTAATAGCAGTGATACTGTCTTCCAAACCAATCAAACAACCAAACAAACTGGCCAGATCACCAATTAGAGCAGTTAAGAAGCCAATGAGTCCGAGAGATATGATGAATGCTGGCCAGCCACCTCCCATACCAACAGGAGGTACAAAGGCAAAGATGATCTGAAATATGAATATTAAAATCATCACAAACTGGCAATGATATGATTACATTATAGAAAACTACGGATACAGCGTATCGTCAACATTTAATTTAGTCAGTTGTTGGTATAGCCAATGGTGGTAATGGGGGTTTGAATAATGCTCTAATCTTACCTTCCATACAAAAGTTAAAAAGTGAAGTATATAATCAAGAAATGTAGCTGATTCAATATCACCACCATTTACATTCATAGCATTTCTAAACTGATTGATATAAGAATCGTCATCTAACGCTAAGCCATCAAGATTACCAAATGTTAAATTCACAATACGGCTTACTAAACCATTGAATTCTGAAAAAAGGAGAAGTTTTTCATCACATCGTTGGTTTAAAATTAAAACACTAGACAACTAATAAAACATTTAAATTTTGAAAAATCTATAAATATAGTTACTTATCTGCAAGAGAAGTGAACCAAACCATTATTCTAATTTGTGAATAAAGATAAAGTTTGACCTTTAATTTTGTAGCAGGAGAATAATGTATATATGTAACCATATATTTCTATTTGTATATGTAACCATATAACATTTCAAAATCCTACCTTCATCATTAACAATGGTAACAATAGTTTTTGTTAGTTTTCCTAATTTAGCACCACCAGTAGTTTCCAATAATTCAATCTGAAAGCTATCATCTCGTTCTGGTTTCTGTCAAAAGAAAATATTTACCAGATAATATACAATCTAAATAATGAAACACCATTTTATGGTATACTGTACTCCTAAAATTTTTTTGTATACAACGTTTCAACAATTTACATTTCCATCACCATCATTTATATTTTTATGACCAGATGACCGTATGAAATTCCTCAATTAATTATCACATATTGAAATCAATTATTCTGTTGGTGTAAGAATGATATAAAACTACAAAATACATACATTACTGCTAAACAGTGGTATAGTAATAGTTTTGTTAGTTTCACCATTATCAAACTTTAATTCGCCTTCTCCACCTTCAAAATCTTTACCAGAAAACGCCGTCATGTCTTTAGTTTTCCACTTGACTGATACATGTCCATCAGCACCACCAGTTCTCTGTATAGGTACTCTAATAAGTCTGGAACTCTCTTTAGCTACGATACTTGGTCGAGCAAAATCTAATGTTCCCGGTTCTACCAAAAACAATGTAAATCGTAAAGACTGTGGTAACATTCACTCATTATTCAATACAGCGTACTTATATTTTTTTTCGAGGAGGGAGGGGGGATTACATTTTGGAATCTGTACTTTTTTCTTAAATAAGAAGGTGTATCGTATTTATTATACTTTCAAATTTACTTACCATCATCATTTATGATCGTGACTTGACAAATGGCAAGTTTTCCTAGTTCAAAATTTGGTGTTTCATCAGGTACATTGGCCAATTTTACGAAGAAAAACTCATCGGGTTCCCATTCGAAATCATCCACAATCTCGATAAATACTTGTCTTAAAATTTCATTGGCACCAAACTGTATGACTTCATCAAAATGTTTATAATCACTCCCTGCTAGAGCAGTACCATTTATAGTTTCAACTCTATAATAACAAGGATAACGACAATTGGAATAGGCTACAAAAGCAAAATCGACTTTAATGAAAGAAGATTCATTTTAACCATCAGATAATATTTTAGTCTAAAAATCCTACCTGACAGAAACTGCAGCATCTTTTCTACCAGATCGTCTGATACCAACTCGAACCTTGCCCTCATTTTCTAGAACAGCTACAGATGAAGCAGTGAATTCAACAACTGGTTTGGTTCCCCCTTCACTATGGTCAAATGTCTTCGCTAAATCATTTTCTCCGTCCTCTTCTGGTAATTTTACTCGATCATAAATCTATGTTAAAGTGTATAGGTTTCTTATTAAACACTGAGCGAGTTAAGAGACTTATTGTGGATGGCTCTATTTGTGGATCCATTTCAATATAAGTCAAACTGAAAGGCTTGGCCAAACGCGAAATGTATCTAATTGCGTAGATACTGCTGTATGAGGATACTCTTTCTGTGATCATCTGACTTTGCCAGGATTGTGATTTTATTGACTTGTAGAAAACTTATGGAAAAGCTATTGCAATCTAATACCTTGACTGCAACTATAGCCACTTTTCTGTAAAGCACAGCTGTTCGTAAATGCAGCAAATTTATTGGAATGTACGCTACCGAATACAACGATAAATACCTGAAATACACTTGTGATAAACATAAATGCGTAGTGACTTACTCCCTCAAATGTCTGTAGAACTGTAGGAATAACTCGTTTTCCACCAGACATACCCCGAATAGCGTTAATTCTGTACCAACCAGAATTGTGATGCTCATTCTCGGCAATTTTCCTGGCAGCTATTTTAGCAGCCTCTTCTTCTGGAAGATCTTCTACCATTGCTAAATCCTGGAATGACACCTTATACATATCAGAATCTTTGATGGCTTTGTATCTTAAGGATTACGCGAAAAATAAATTTCACGGTGCCAAATATTTGGCTTTCACGAAAACAAATCTAGTGGTTACTTCGCAATAATATTCTAGTTGCAAATGAATTCTTGCTGAAAACGTATTTGATATTTGGAATATAGAAATATATATACCTTGGCCATTCTATAAATTGAGGCACGTCCATGATGTGGTTCTTCTAAGGCTTGTTGTTCTTCGGCATCACGAGCTAAAAGAAACATAACAACTTTTAAGATTAAGTTTTTAATTGGATCGCGAAAAATTAACGACAAACCATAATCCTAGTAAATCCATTGATGAAATGTTATCATAAATTATGCTCGTGAAATTTGAGTCAAAACTGTCTTACAACATTCCGAATATAACCAAGAAGACAATACAAAACAAAATCATACTATAAGGAACATAAATAGCAGCTTACAACTGGTTAAATAATAATTAAAAAAAAATGCGATATCAGTGCAAATATTATATGAATATCAGGATAAACACCAATAATATGTAATGGAATTGATATTTTTTCATATCTACAGCATAGAATTTAAAATTCCATCTCTAATCTGTATACACAGTTCAAATGGGAAGAAATGTTCCGAACGTCCAGAAGTAGCAAAGTGCCGCTATATATTTTAGTAGTATTTTTCGATAAATATGTTAAATTAATTTTTGAATTGGTATTTACCGTGATATCGCATGGATATAAGTTCAATATTTTAAGAAAGTTAACAAAATGATAAAATAAAAGATGGCAAAAGAAATAAATAAAGGCATTCTATTCTAAAAATTGTATATTTTATCTCATTGAACCAACCTGGCCCTTTACCTATTATCGAAAGTATTATTTGTTAAACAGACATTACCAATGTGATATCTGTACAATCCTCATGCCCCAGCTTTGTTTTCTTTTATGGCAATGGTCAGAAAAATCAGCACAAAATTCAAATCATGTCCTTAGTATATATCGAGTGATCATAGATTTCAAATATTAGACTATTGTTGGAAAATTGTGCAATTTAACCATACACACATTGTCAAGGTATTGTTATACCAATAAAGAGTTGTGCCCATTTCGTTGGAGACCTTGCATTTTAAAACCCTATTTCATTTTGTATTCGAGCCTAGTCCACTGAAAAACTACGAACGTTGTCATTTAATTTCCTTTCTGCGTTTGCTCATTAATTTCTTATTGAGAAACTTCTTATGAAATGTGTGCGATCTCTGTTCATACCATTGAACATGCCATGCCATAGCTATGCGGGATAACTTACCATCGTTCGCCTTATATCGAGAAGACTTGTAGCCAGCTGTAAGAAGCGAATCACACCGGTTAATAATAGGAAAAATGAGTTAAATTAAATGAGAATGTGTCAAAAGCGTATTCATAAAAATCATAAAGTCTCTTTCATATATCATATATTAATTTTGCTTCAGTATAGACTTTTAATGCACGTTGGACTCGCTTGCAATATTATATGCATGCATGCAGTGTTCGACTAAACAAATAAATTTTGATCAAAAAAGTATAGCCCTGCCTTCTAACGTAGTACACGTACCAATATATTAAGATGCTTTATGATTTTTATGAAGATTAATAATAAAACATGAAAAAAAAACATCAATGTACAGTGAAATGAAAATGATTATCAATAAGACCTATATAGTGACAAGCCAACGAAAAATAAATTCCTAAAATGGATGATTATTGAACTATATGTGATGTTGGGTTTGAGAGGAAATAATTTACCATTGGTGGATTTAGGTTGGTCATTAACAGTATATTTGTTACTTGCTGCATCTGTAAATTGTATAGAATTTTCCCATGAAGCAAAGTTTATCATACAATTTAATATCAAACATATTATAAGGGTATAGATAAAGGTATTTCTGGAATGATCGATTGGTCACAGATACGCTTGTGAATCTATATATTTTACTTATTAAATCTAAAAATAAATTTTGGAATAACAAATCTATGAGAATCAAAAGTAAAGCATAAGCATAATTCAAAAATACATAAGTGATATATAAAGCAAAAAACGTTAAGCTATTATGTCCGAATTTGATTTTCGAATTGTTTATTCTAAGTCTAGTAACTTTTGACTATAAAATACCATTGTCTGTTTGCTCTATAGCACCATTTTCTCCCTGCTCGATACTTATATCATCAATCTTTGTAATTTGATTTACTCTTCCTATAATTCAAATTGTAATATTGGGATATTTAAAAAAAAAACCTGCACATGTAAGACCAATGAAATAGTCTTTGGAAAATGACACTTTTAAAGGGATATGTCAGCTCATACAGATCAGTTTCAGCAGATCCATATCACCTTTAAGAAATCATAAAAGACTGCAAGATTGTCGCCACTTCTAGGAAGTCATTATTTGTATCGTGTGACGGTTGAAGTAGAGACGAGTCGCTGATTTTAATTTTGAAAAGTTCAATGGATCGCTGAAATCGAATCCTATCAACATGTACATGACTTTTTTTTTACCTTTTTTCCATTTTTAGGTACTATTTCATTTCACTGTTCATTAACTTTAATTCACTTAAAGATTTCTGTTTCTATCTAGTTATTGAGAATTTGAAAGGGAAAGGTCTTACGTTACGTTAACCAAAGTTATGGAAGTCTGTATATGTATATTTATTAAAGAGTTGACAGATATTATAGATAGCTTGATTTGTTTATTTGACAACATGCTGTAAGTTTGACAGGGAAATACTCCCTGATTAATTAATATTAATTTACTTGGTTATAATTTCAATAAGAAAATTTAATCAAATTTAGGAATAAGTAGGGGGATATGATAATGGTCTAGCTAGTCTAACAGCAAGCTGATCACATGATGTGAGCAACACCGTGCAACATTCACAAAAATTAATTTATATTTTTCATAAGGGAAATGGAAAACCGAAATTTGCCATTAACCAATTTACATTTTATAAGTGACATTTACTTTGATTTTTAACTTATTACTCATGGCTTAGATCATGTACAGAGTTTAATAAAAGTCTATTTTGAATCGACTGACACTATGTTATATCAGCACGACATTGTCAAACATAGGTCACAATAACCCGAATATATACATTAAGATAAACACAATGATAATACTATAATCATTATACTTACTCAGACTTATTCCCACAACACCAGAGTCTTCACGTTTAGGTTTCTGTTTTATACAGAAATTTTTTTCTGCTATGAAGGCTATTATAATAAGAAGTGGGAAGAATAAGAGAGTAACAATGGCTTCCCATATCTCAATGACTCCAGGACTGACCGCAATCAAAGTTATTATCAACCAAACGTAGGCAAAAACACACGAAAACGCGGTAACAAGGAACACTTTGAAGTTGTTAATTCTTCTAATTTCTCCAGTTGGGATGGACATCATACATATAGCTGATATAACTAATAAGTTAAAAGCTGCTGAGCCAACGATGGTTCCAGGACCTAATGTTCCAGAATAGAAATTATTTCCGACAATCTCGATAACAGAAAGTAAAATTTCTGGAGCGCTTGTTCCCATAGCCAATAAACTTAAATTGGCCACTGTGTCATTCCATACTTTTATTTCTATTTGTTTAAAACCTTCTGGAACTGAAGAATCAGCAACGCGAACTTTTCTTGTTTTACTGGTAATTTTTTCGATGGAACACATAAAAATATCAGCTAAAATGGCAACAGCTAAAAAGCACCATAATAGAGCCAGAAAATATAAGAAGGCCCGGACACCAGGGTTCCATGTTGCTTCACTTATGATTGGAAGCAATAAGGCGTCACTACAGGTGTAATTATGGGGATCAAAATATCTGTAATAATCAGACGACGAGTTGGCCATCTTCTCTCTTTACACCAACACTCTGAAATGATAAAAAAGAAGAATTTAAAAATGTTTGCCATTGTCTGCATGGTTATAATCAAAGAAAAATTGGAATGTCTTTTGATTCGGTCAAATTCCTTTCAAATAACCTGAAGTTATAGTTCGCGTACAATAGAGCTGTTAAAAGGACAGATAGACCATTTCTTGACCAATCCTATTTTAGTCTCAGAAACTTTATTTTTTTAGCTGAGCTAATCAGTAATAGTGTTCACAGCCTTCAAATCCACGTGTTTTCAAAATGATCTGCGTTTGAATTTTAAAATGACTGCTCTCAATCTAAGATACTGTGTGATATATAGAAAAGACATTCCTAGTTTGAAGTATTTCAAAGGAATTTTGAAATTTTTGTACATTTCTTTTTACATGCATTCATGACTAAAATCAATCCCACAAAATGGAACATTTGTCCCTTTGAGTAAAAGAACCAGATATCAATGGAATATTACTGCATTTGCTATCAATGGTGGATTATTGTTATCATACCACAATCTACTAATTAAGAGTAATGTTGTAGAATGTATGTTATAGAAGGCTATGTGCCATATAGAAAGACTAATCAATGGCCTAGGTCAAAATTTGTTTAGAATAATCTGATAATGCGGTTTTTATGTGTAGGCGAAGGTTTCATTTTTTATATGTCATTCATTATAATGTCATCTTATATCTGACCTATTTCTTGTAAATATTTATGTTATTATAATGTATACTAGCAAGTTTGTGAACCGTAAAGACAGGTTTGATGAGTTTATATAAAATGAAAAAGACACAGATGATATTATATAACTATCCGACATCAACATAAAGACTATTGTGACTATATATAACTATCCTACAACAAAAAAAAAACCGCACTCGAGTGACTATATATAACTATCCTACAACAAAAAAAAAACACACTCGGGTGACTATATACAACTATCCTACAACAAAAAAAACCGCACTCGAGTGACTATATATAACTATCCTACAACAAAAAAAAACACACTCGGGTGACTATATATAACTATCCTACAACAAAAAAAAAACACACTCGGGTGACTATATATAACTATCCTACAACAAAAAAAAACCGCACTCGAGTGACTATATATAACTATCCTACAACAAAAACAAAGACCCAGGTGACTATATATAATTATCCTACATCAACACAAAGACTATTGTGACTATATATAACTATCCTCGGCAAAAACAAAGATTCAGGTGACTATATATAATTATCCTATATACATCAACATAAAGACTCAGATGACTATATATAACTACCTTACAGAAAAAACAAAGACATAGTTGACTATATATAACTATCCTACAGAAAAAACAAAGACATAGTTGACTATATATAACTATCTTACAGAAAAACAAAGACTCGGGTGACTATATGTAACCATCCTACAGAAAAACAAAGACCCAAGTGACTGTATATGACTATTATACAGCAAAACAAAGATTAATGTGACTATATATTATCGTATATAACTACTTTACAGCAACAAAAACAAGACTCAGTCTATACCAATATATAACTATCCTGCAGCAAAAACAACGACATATATATAACTATCATTCATCAAAACAACGAAATTCTAGGTGGCTACAGTCGCTACAGATAACCATCTATACTGCAAAAACAAAGACAATGTTACTACAGATAACCATCCAACATCAAACAAAGACACAGGTTATAACTATCCTACAGCAAAACGAAGAAAACATAGGTGTCTGCAAATAACCATCCTACAGCAAAACAAAGTCCAATGGTACTCAGATAACCATCCAACAACAAACAAAGACCAAGACTACATATCAACATGATACACCAACAAAGACCTATAAGATATTACATAAAAACACAACAAAACGCAGATCAAAAAACGTAACTATCCTACAAGACAAGTTTTGCTACTACACGACAACTCTACCACATGGTTTCCATAGTCTACAAGACGAAGAAACTACAACAAAACAAAAAAACTTTGATTAAAACTTTTCTACGAATAAGTTCCATGCCATGCTATGGTAGTAAAATCAGTGAAAAAATATATACTTACTATGATCGGATAGAAAAGAGTTAATGCGTTATCATAATTGTCAGTACCTATATATATATACAATATGGTATGTTTTTTATGCTTACCAGGAAGTTAAGTATAAATTTTCTTTATGGGCTTTACCCCTGCGAAATGCGTGTATATACAAACATGAAGGTTGTTATCCACTTCCTTTTAAGAGTTAACATTTTTTTATGAAGAACTTCGTACTTATACCTAGACTGCAATAGTCACTTTTTTAGTCTCAAATGGAAAATTTAGCGATTTGATTGGATTGTACGCTAGCGAATACAGCCAATCAGAGACTTAGACAAAAAGTCTGTGAACATAAAAGCCACATTAGGCTCACAGTCGTTAGACTGATACTCCACAATTATTGCATTTGGTATTTGAGGGGAGGGCTTGTTCTTATTTTCCCGAGGTAGGCCTATTGCAGTACCACTCCTGTTTATTGATTTAGCCAGACAGAATTCCCAAATGAAATTTGAGATTTATGATTGATTACATGAGGTCAAGCTGACAGGCCGCTTCAATGTTCCGGTTGCATTGCCGCATTAATAATCCACTTCATGCATATGAGAAGTGAATGTATTCGTTCACTGGCTTTGTTAAACAGGCTAATTTATCACATTGTGTAAATGTACATAACAAATTCTTTAGCATTTCTCGTATGCCGTAGACCACCATTCATGTAAAATATTGATTGGTATAAATTTGTCTATTATCTTGATATGTCCATCTTATGTGGGTGGCAAGATCTACTTTCAGTTAAAGGAAATTTTAATGATGTATATTATAAGAGTTATCTAGTTTGAATTACTTTAAATGGATTTCCAATTGTTATTGCAAAACCAGGAAGATCTTCCTTTGTCATATTCGCATCTTAATGTTTTTTTCGTATGATATACGATACGATGGTTTCGAGTGATATAACTTACAAATAACTTTGACGTGTGAATAAATACGTTTTAAGTTGGCTTTTACACCTCCACAATGCAGATATATAAATATATTTTGCAAATTTTAAAGACATAAGTAAAATATTTCATTTTCACTGCAAATACTTAATCATGTCAAATATACCACCTTTAGTGTATATATCATTAATTCTATTCATGTTTTAAAGCTCGCAGGCCTCAAGGTAGTAAGTACACAATTACTCATAAGATCAAGTCAAATAAAACAGTTTCTATGGCAACCATGAAATTCACATATTTTCAAAAGATCGGAGAGAGAGGTCAATCAATTTTTCAAACTATTTGTCATTTACTATAAAATGAGAAGTGCAAGTTTATATTCACCTTTCATCTTATTTAATGATGATATAAACTATGTCAAGTACGCTCAACCTAGTCAAATATTTGGCATAGTTTTAGAGTTTAGGTTATATCTTTCTCACCTGTGCCAAAAACCAGTTTATTAAACATTTTTGTCGTTACTTTGCTGCATTACACGTAAATGTAAAAATGCACAGTGCATAAAATATACATACCTAAAGAGTGCCCTTACCGATGCAAAACACAGTTGATTCACAAACTAGGATTATCCCACATACCAGAAAGCTGACTGATTAGTATCTACTATAATTTGTGTAGGTAAAGAAAAATGTAAAACGCCCTGAAAACGTCACAACATTTTGTTTTCCTCCAATGATGTTAAAGCGTCCCACACATTCAGGTCACAGGTCAACTTTGTGGACAAAACCACACCTTTCATAAAGTATTGAATTTAACTGCTTATTAAGAGGATTGATAAATGAAAATGAAGTCCAGTTAAGTGTTCGTTAAACAGTAACAACGTCCTTTGTTTTAAGGTGTCTTTAAATCTTCATATGACAACCTATTGTACATACATTCCCACGTGTTAACCTTTTACAACAAATGTTCCTTTTAAATACAGTTCAATGTTAATAAGCTCGGGGTCCATGTTCTTATTATTCCTTTATAAAGTAGTGAATCGTAACCAGCCTTTTCAAACAATGGGCCAAGTTAATAAAGAGTTTGTAAAGTTAATTTCTAATATCATAGGAAGGTTCAAACAGGTTTTCAATAGCCAACAAAGAATGTAACTCTTACATATTTATCATTTTTTAAGAGTCCATTTTCTTTGTTCTTTACCATAGGAAACACTGTACTTGGCCTGACTTTTGGAAAAGATTTTATTAAGTGTAAAAAGCTGGCTCTTTTGGCAAATAACTACACAAATGAGTCAATGGATTCTCAGATTAACTTGCTGATGTCTCATTTTGATTGCAGTGAAGGAATACGCCCGAAAAGATTAAACCCACGCGTATAATACTGAATGACATAATTGACTTGGCATAAATGACAAAATCTCACACAATGGATAAAAAGTGTATATAATAATCGCTTTAATATGTTATAATTCACGTCACTTGATATATATAATATATTTCAAATGACTCATTAAATACGCCAGTTTATCATATACAATTTAAATGATGATCTATCATATAAGTCTTGTTATAGGCCAACACCCATGTATCTTTGTTTTAGGCGAATTATTAAGTTATTTTGGTTATGTATGATTGATTTGTGTAATCTATAGTAAAAAATGGTAAAGGAAGCATAGCATAGCACCTGATTAAGTTTGCCATGTCGGTCGGTATGTCTTGTATTAGGCCTGTCCATCTTCATTCCTATAACTATATATGCAGTTCTAAAATTTCCAACACAAGAAGCATGCACATGTAATTCTGCTGCAAAGTACAAGAGCCAAAGATGTATAGTTATAACACACAGTTTTCTCTATAGGTATGCATTGGACAATACTTTC